CTGGTCATACGTTTGGTATCAAGTCAGCCTTTTTAGGGTTGCACAAAAGTGTTTAAGGGTGTGCACTCATGTTTATTGAAGATTTGGCTGAACGAAAATCGAAACTCTCTTTATGTAATTGAAAATGATTTGTTTTCACCCTCATCCTAGCAAGGTAGTACTGACTTACTATCTAGTGTGGTTTTCACATTGTTTATTTTAATTTTATTTTCGTTTCCCTTTGCTTTTTAATTTGTCTAGTAGACCCTTTATATTTTTATATGCAATGTTTTATCAATTGTGTGATCAGATTGTTCAAAGTGTATTGCATCAGATAATTTTGATAGCCTTTATCTTATCATCGCATTATCCGAATTCATCGCAGGGGCTAATTATTTTAAATTTACTCAATAAAACATTTTCAAAATACGCATAACATGATTATAATTAAAACGAGACTGTTGGTGAGCTATGATTTCCATGTAATAAGGGGAAGAATAAAATTAGAGAACATGCTGATACAATGCTAAAAATAAAAAGCCATTTAATTTATGCATAAAAACGCAGAATTTGTCTATTCGCAAGTTATTTAATAAATTTCACTGATAGTCTCGAATGGAAGTTTCCTCGTTTTACCTATTCACCTATTACTTGGCTAATCAATGATTTCATTTTGAACTGAATGTTTTTAGTTTTGTTCTATTGTAAATATACTCATACTCACACAAAATATGCATTATCCACAGGTGTATAAAATTTTCCAGGGGTTCCCTCCTTGTTATGGCATCAGTTTCCATAAATTTTTAACCCAGTAAAATATATGGACACTTATAAAAAATTTGGTTGATGAAACTGAAATACACTTTTGAAGAATCCTTTGATCTACTTGAGTACATTAGTAGATATTTTATGAATTACTTCTTCGGTGATTGTGAACATTTTGCAAGTAAATTATCCGATGTGATAACTGTTGGGGATGTTAGATCCCCAGAGCTCGCTTGATAAATATCTTTATTTTGGATTTATTTCATGAACCGATCAGCTGACTTTGAGAGCACATTTCTCACCAACAAAATCCTTGGCTGTGATTGGTTACTGTGTTATTTTAGTGTGCTATTTCTGTGACTGTTCCAAGGACGTCTCCATGGAGTGTAAATAAACGCAATTTGAGTGCTTGGATTCATTGTGTGCTGGCTGGGTGTTTGTAGAATACACTTTCTACGCTATATCAAGACTTCTTGCTGATACAATCGGGTTAAGGGATCACAGTTGCCTACCTGAACGCTGGTTCATTGTTTTGTTCTCGTTATCGACTAAGGTGAACCCGTAATAGTTTAAAGCATGCCTAGAGACGAGCGTAATAATAACTATCTAATTAAAGCTGTGATAGTGTGACAATTATTCATTCTTCATTGGATAATTTACTCTGCGGTGAAGAATCTTCTGAAAGTAGTCAATCAATGAATTATTAAAACGTAAAAGAACTGACTTTACAAATTAAAGGCCAAAATCTGTATATCTGAACGTAGATATATTTTTTTGTCTCATCTCGGTTCCAGTAATAAATATATATATATATATATATATATATATATACACTTATAGATGAATCCCAAGTTAAAATGAATATTTCTTTCATTTTGAATGACGCAGTTTTTCAAAATTTCGAATTATTTTAACTAAATGTACAAGGGTATGTTTCCTTACGGAAAAAAAATCGCCAAATAACAAATATGTAGATAAAACTAATAGACATGAGAAATTTAATTAGTATTGAGAATTAGTTACAGCTGACTGAATGTCTGGAAATTTCAAGAGTACTCTTAGCTCGTCCCTGAAAAATGTTTGTTTATTCTCTCTTGTTTCTAAATACATCATGAAAAAATATTCGTTAAACTAATCATATATTTGATTTTATCAGGGGAATTATTTGTTTTACAATTTAATATACATGATAAATGTGAAATATGTATAAGAATATAATTTTATATTTTTTTTCTAGGAATTACTGATGAGGTTTAATTTTCACACCGAATTTAGCTGCTAACTTTACTCTATCTTTATTTTTTTAAATTTCTTGTTTATTCAAAGTTAATAAGAGGCTTGTAAAATCAGCGTTCTCAAATCGATCATCAGTATGGATGTGTTTACACTACTACATCAATGCATCATCATCAGTGTCTAGTTCTTTCTTCGTTTAATTTTTTGGTCATAAATGTTGTTTCTTAATAAACCGATTTTAACTAGATTTGCATAGCTATGATTTGCTTTTTACATAGTATAGACTGATGATTTATAAACAGGGAACAATCTTTCTGGCTATTTAACGATTGGTCCTTTTTCGTACATATTTTAATGCATCTATACTGCAACGTGTGTTATTTCGTTCTGTTTGAACCCATTTATTTTCTAGATGTTAAGTGAACATGTGCACTTCTTACCTGATATATGAAGAGAAGTGATATTTCATATTCTCAACTCATCTTTCACTCACTAGTGAATAGCTTCGAGAGATGTGTGGAGTTCCACTGAGATTCTGTGACCAGTAGAGATTATGTTTGTCGGGTATGAGGCAGTCACCTAATGAGGAAGATGGGGAATACTCGAGCAATATTTTGGATTGATTAAAGTAAAACACTAACACCACTGGATGGTCTGAAAGTGAAGCTTTTACGGGCGAAATCAAAGATCCTTGACTGAACTGCTACCTGGGGCAGGGTTGTGGATGCTCACTATTAAGGTGTCCCGTACGGAGACGAAACGGCATTCGAATGTTTTTAAGTTTTTAATGATGGTTTAAATTAGATCGGTTCATAAATTTAATCATATCTGTCAATTCGCTGGTTTAATTTCCATTAAAATGATGAAGAATTATAAAGTTATTACAGAAAAACCTCAGTCTTCATTGTGCCAAAGTGATCATATGACTGCAAAATCTTTTATCAGTCAACCAGTTTAAATCTGGATTTTCCTTTCTACATTATCAAACATAATTTGCTTCCTTAACTTTATGTATCTAGTTATCAAACCAGAGTGCAAATCATAACAATCAGTCGTTTAATATATATGGTTTCATTTTTACAATAAAATAGATTAGTCAACCTTCAAGAACTGATAAAATCATTAAAGACTTTTGCTTCGTTTTCACCATTTGTTCTTGTATGACTGACTCATCATCAGTAATAAATTATCAAAATGTAAATTGTTAAAGTAACAATTAGAATACCTATGTGAATATACTAAACCAAATTTAGTGAAAACTGAAAACTAAGATTTCTATTTTGAACGAAACCAGAATGAATAATCGGTATGTAGGAAAGGTCAAGCTACAAAATTATTGTCACTAACAATAATATTATTTTTCATGTCAGTATTTCAATACCAGTAAACAATAGCAACCATAAGAATGACAAGAAGCCAAACCACTGATAACAAAATTGACGACATTAGTTCGAACTAACTTGAACAGGATGTCAATATTAAATATTTTATTTAAGTTAGTGTCCTGAAAATAGACTGTCTTGAAAAGACAAGTTGATCAATTATGTTAAAAAAAGACTAGAATAAAACTTAGTATTTGTACACTAAAAAAAACAAAACAATAAGCCAGACATTTATCATTATTTAAACGCTGAAATTTGAATATATTTCAATGAAATTATTTTTCATCTAAAAATTTGGGGCAGTAATATGATTTTGATATTCAAACTTTGAGTTTTGAAAAGTCTGTATTGTAAGTAAAAACAGTCTGTTTCAGGCAAATGTCAATATCTTTTGTGTTAGCATAATAATAGACAACTTGATAGCGTGTAGTAGAAACTGATTGTTTGTCTGATAGCTTTTTTCATATTGACAATATCCTACAATTAATGTTTGATAATTTCATCGACTAACTTACACAAGACCGGATTTTGAAAAAAAAAATCATTTTTAACCCATTAATTAAGATTGTAGATTTCAAGAAATTTTCAGGTACACGTTGTTAACACCGGACAGTTAGTACTGGGTAAAGACTGAGATTTCTACAGGAATATGGCGATGAAACGTTAGGTAATGAAACAAACAACTTATAAAGAATTTCTCTTTACTTCTACTTCATTTTTCTAAACACCTTGTTTTATAACATGTTGATGTTCATTCAAACTCGATAACTCAATGTAGAATCACTCGCTTGGTTTTTCACCAAGGCTTTGAAATAATGACCAGTAATATTACATGGTTGCTCAGGTCCAAGTAAGAAAACTTAGGCGTTACGGTGTGGATTAAGCCTTATCTTCAATAACAAATACTCGTATTGCTACAGCTCATGAAGAGCGGAGTCAAGAAAGTGCTATTTTCAAACCTGAAAGCGGATGTATGAGTCATGCATTCACACACAATCGACAATAGTTGTATTCCCTGACCTTAGGGCGGCATTCGACTCAGTAGATCATGAGTTTCTTTGGCAGTGTCTGTCATTAAAAGGTGTTCTAAAGAAGTACATTAACCTACTCGAACTCTACTGGTCGAGTTAGAGCTTATGGCGAACTGTCATCGGAATTCATTACTTCAAGTGGTGTCCGTCAGGGCTGTCTTCTCTCTCAATTCCTGTTTAATTTTGTCCTAGACATGCTTCGAGAGTGAACATTATCTTCATCTAACTTTTTACGGGTAGACCTTCTACCAGGAGACTCGCTTGTTGACTTAGCATATGCTGCGGACATAGTTCTATTTGGTGAAGCGCTGACGCTGACACTGTGTCTTCTGACTACCTTAAGCAAAAATCAGTAATCAATTACATATTAACTTAGCTTCATGAGAAGATATCTAGGAATGATTTAAAAAAATTTAAAAGAAATCTTTTTGATAATCATAACAGATTCCTGTTAAAATTTTTGACACTAATACAAGATGTGTACGTAGCTTCTGTTTACGCTATATATTATATTATTTTATTGTAAGTTCTATGCTCACATTACATGTAATTTCAAACACTTAACAATGATAAAAAATATATAATGCTAAGAATTATTAGAACTAACCAATTCATGTTTAAATCTTGACAGGTAGTTCAGTACGCGTCCACGCATAGCTAGTTCATTACGTTTTGTCCATCCAAGCCAATCTTCATTGAGTCGATTGCTGTGGTCACGAATTAAAAATTCATAGTAAGGAAGAAACAAACTTATCTGAGTTGATAAATGTGGAATTTTGTTTTTTACAAATTGTAAATTGCTTTGTTTTGAATGTGATGAAGTTGATGTTGGTGCTGTTTTCGATACCGCTACATGTGGTTTGTACATTTGAATCAGTATTAAACCGAATAATAAAACGATCACAGTGAAACCGATCACTGAGCTTATGTAATGTGACTTTCTACAGCATGCGGTTCGTATGCCTAACATACAACTGGTATTTTGTTCAATACCGAAAGATGATGATGGTGGGAGGCATAATGGTGGTCCAATAGAAATCAATGTATTGTCGGGGAATGATCCAGATAGGTTTTGTGTTGACTGGTTATGTAAAGAATTTAGGTGAAAGAGCTGTTTCGATTTATTTTTATTTTTTGAATGAATGACACTACTGGAATTTATTGACGAGGATGTTGTTTCTGAAGATTGCGAATTTCTGGGGATTCCAGATACATGAATCGGTGGCTGATATAATGCCTTGAAATAAAAAAGATGAAATTTAGAACAAGATCAGTATAAAAAAGTGATGAGTGAACTTAGTAAAAGTGTTCTAATTAATATTTTAAAATGAAACATCTATCAAAATTTCACTGAATAATTTTGTGATAAAGTAAAAATTTGTTAGTGAAGAAAATATTTCCTGTTATTTAATGTATTGGAAATAACAGACAAACATTCGTTTAGAACAGTAACATACTTTATGATTTAACGGTCCGATGAATTCGCATCTTAAATTTAAAAATATTTGGTAGAGTATTCTAAATTCTTTCTTACAACACACAATTCATGTTTTTGCATTGCTCAGCAATACTAAAATATGCAAATCAACAGATTCAGTGTCATGTTAAAATGTATTACACAAGTTAATCATTCAAGGGCGATTTCGAAACTCGCCAAAATAGGACAACCAAAACATTTTTTAAATAAAATTCCCTTTCATAAGCCTGTTACAGAAGTATTTGAAAAAATGTTGTGTACAACTGATTCGTGATTATAGAGTTTTATTCTTAATTAGTCGGTCAAAAGAACCTAAGGCTTCTCAAATTCGCACAGATATTTTTTGAAATCACGGATCAGTCGATGTTAGGACATCATTAAACATCTGAAAACACTGAACGGCCGTTTCGTCCTGGTACTGATCGGTTCATGATTTCAAAGTAACTGAACAATCTCTATAACCCTATAGCGAAAATATATGTTACTCACTGACAAGTCATTCTTAAGTGTGTTGTTATTAGTTAACAACATTTAGCGATTGTAACAAAGTTCATCAGTAATGGTTAATAACAACTAAATCTTATAGCATTGTCTTTTGAGGCGTGTTCGTCGTCATTTTGAGTTCCTTTCTCAAAGCACTGACTGAATTTCAGTGATTTCTTATAATGACTGTTCATAGAGGAAACAAAATTCTCTTGGCCTGAATAGAAAATCGATAATAATTATCAGCAAAAGAAGCACTAATGTTTTCCAGTTGTTAAATATGAGATGAGTTTGAAAAAATTGTTTTAATTATACTAGATGAAAGTTAACTATGGTCCTCGTCTCAAAAAGAAAATTAAATGTACCGGAATTTTTAGTCGTTTTTGTAAAATTGTCAGTTAGACCCATAATAATAACTTTCGACATATTACTGGTATTTTTATAATTTTAATTCCATAAAATATTATTGTTTTGTCACCTACCCAAGAGAAATTATTAATGAGGTAATTATATGGAGTTATGAACGAAAACGTGAATCTAAAGTAATACCGCCACTACTACTACTACTACTACTACTACTAATAATAATAATAATAATAATAATAATAGTTTTATTAATCTATTTCTGGTTAAACTAAATTATGCAACAATAAGGCATTTTCTCAGAAGTGTATACTCAGTGATATTCATTTCATTCAACTTACTATTTGATCACACTGGAATTTTTATGATTTTTACTACAAAAAAGATAATCCTGACTTAATTTCTTCCTTTTATTTTAGTGGTGGATAATTGCCGAAATTTATAACTAACTACTTTCTAGGCGAAATACTGATGATAATAAAATAAACCGATATTGAAACGTGCAAACACTGAATATCAATGTAATATACAAACTCTATTGACTGTTTCATTGATCGTTAATGCCCCAACTACCAGCAAGTGAATATGTATACAAATAAGGAAGAACTATGAAGTGTGTCAATATGAAATAAATTTACTTTGCGCTAACTCAATGTATGTATACGTATGGTTAGGTCTTATTCACTTATTCTATACAATTTCGGAATAGATTTATTCACTTAAACTAGAAAATGGATCATCACTATTAAGTACGTTTTTTCTGCTTTTCTTTCAAAATCCAACTTAGATTTCAATTTCTTCTCAGTCAACAAACCAATGTGAATCATATACACATATATATGAAACAATTAATTATTATGTCTATTTGTCAAAATTGATGATAGTTTTCCTCTCTCTCTCTCTCTCTCTCTCTTAACCAAATTCAACCAGCTAGAAGAAGTTTTAGCGGGAAGAAAAAATTGGATGACGAAAATAAATTGAAGTGAAACTGATTTTCATTATTTCTTCAACTTTTTAGTTTCAGCAAAATTTGTCAGTGAAGATTAAACTAAAAAAACCCGATTGATATAGGGAAGATATAAAGATGAATGTAAATATGATTTTAGAAAAGCATTTCATGTTATACTTTTGAGATTTGATGAAATTTGTATAGATTTATCTGAATTTTATTCTACTGAGTAAAACAAATTGTCAAGGAATAACAAATGTCAACGAATCACTAGATTATTTTGTTCAATAAGAAGAAATGATATTTAGTAGCGAATTATAAAGATTAAATAAAATCTGTGAATACTGATCGACCATCATAATTTATTAGGCTGATTTATTTCTCTGAATAAATTCATCACTGAAAAAATAATTAGAAATAGTTAATTTATCCTTTCAACAATGAAAATCAACTTCACCTGATTGATTTGTGCTGGATTTATCATTGTAAAAGTGAAAATATCATAACTCGAAACAACTGAAATTAAAGAGGTTAGTTTTGTCACAGCATTCAATTATGATTTTTAATTTTACCATGTTGATCTACTTCTTTTTGTGTAGTGAACGTTTGGGGACGTTAGATCCCCAGAACTCACTTGGAACAGGTCCTAAGTTTGTGATTTTACCCTGGAATTTTGAATTTCTATGTTTTCGCGCCAAGTTAACCTTTAGCTTACATTTCCCACTCGGAACATCATTGACAGTCAGTGGTTGATGGATTATTTTAGTATGCTGTTTTGTGGCTCTCCCAAGGGTGTTTCTATCATTGTATAAATAGGCTTGATATGTGTGCTTAGCCACCTTGTATTTTCTGGTTGCTTGTCAAGACTTCTTGATCTAGTTAGCAGGGCCTGAGACAAATGGATTAGAATAGCCTGTCGTGTCACTGTATCGTTTGACTTAACTATGGTTTCCTTGTGACTTAGTATTTATTGAATAACTAATACATTCGTAAACCAACAGAATTGGATCTTAAAGTTTGAAAGTTAGAAAAAAAAACAGTGATTTGAAATGAGTTTGGAAAGTTAGTTTATTGACTTTCTAAAACAAAAATGTATAAAATTCTTCTTTACAAAAATGTGAAATGATATTATTTTTCGCTGTTCACTTTTAAATAAGTATTAATAATATAATACTTTCTTTCATATTAAACATGATAACAAAATTAGAAATTGCATTTTATGTGATGTCCACTTCTTTACTCACATTATAAACATGTTATCTAACAGAATACTTTTTCCAACATTTTTAACTCTCAATTATTTTATCAACCATCTATACTGTTTATGTTTCTGTAATCAAAAACTGTTTAATTCATCACCTAGTGAAAATTTATTGTGAACAATGCTTCTATAAATCATTACCGATTACAATGAATATCTAATTTGTCAACTAATTTGTTATGATTTATTTACAAATGAATATACTGATATATATATACTGTCAGCCAAACGATATAAAATGTTGTAGAAGTAAAACTTTTCTAGAATTAGTTTTAAATAATGTAATGAAATAAATATGATAGTTTTTTTTCGAAAATCATATTGTATAAAATTGTGTTATCAAAATTTTGATTTTCTTTTTACCAAGGGAAATGTTGAACATGATTCTCGTTATCTACCTGAACAGTAAACAGAAATATATCAGCTTTATGAAGATATATATTTATATATACGTGCTCAGTTTATATACAGAATAATTAACTAATGAATGTATATTGCGTCCAACTCATTGGCACTGAAATTTATTCTAAAATTATATTCTACTATTCTTTGTTTCTGTTTTCATAAATGAAATGTTTACTCAGAATTTTAATTTAAAAAATTGGAAAATTATGAGTTTATTTGTACATGGTATCAAAGTAATAAATACATATACCGCATTCAATATTCATTTCTCTGATCAAAACTGAGTACATATATTATAAGTTATAATTTCCAATTTTAATTCTTCGATGATTGACTGATACTTATGTTTACATTACAGCAGCTCACCCATATTTAGAACCCTTTTTATACTTGGAAAGTATGTGTTTATTTTTGTCGGAACAACTCTAAAGAGCTCTTATATTAGTTTTACCAGATGGAGTTTCATGTTTAGATTCTGTTATTTAATTACTTAATAGATATACATTGAGATTTCCCAATGAATACAATTTTCATTAAGTCAGTATCAGTCAGTATTCAGTGGCACATAGTTTCTAGTTATCAAAATAATTACAACGTATAATGTTGTATTAAATTATCCTTGTGTTCATGTATGATTGTTTTATAACTTGCATAAAAGTTATTTAAAATCATAATCTAAACTAAGGATGAAAGTAATAATACGCCCTAAGAAAATACAAACAAACTTGAAAACTATCCTAACCAAGATTTTTTTTAATATATAACAGATAATCTAATGGATGTGAACATGTTAGAATTTTAAAAACAAAGTGTTTGATTCCTATCGTCAACTGTTTATAAGCATGAACTTATTATCTTTGATTTAAGTAAATATGACCTTGAAATAGTTTGAAAAAAGTGTTACAACAACTAACTACCTGTTTTTCATGTTGACATTCATATAGATTTTGATGTTGTGGAAGACACTGAAATAATGCTGTTCTTAAGAGGCGTTTATTCGGTGTTTCATTGAAATCACGAACATCTGATTGTGAACATTTTTCTTTTCCTTCAAATTTTGTACATGAATGACTGTCAAATGGTTTCGTCAGTGTATTCTTTGTTTCATGAAAATTTCCACTGTCTTGTTCTTGGCTTACAGTAGTGTGTGCTTGTCGCTCTAACCAGCTTGATGCATCAACAAGTAAAGTTTGACCTGTCCAAAAAGCTTTGACAATTTGATATGTATGAAAAAATCGATAAGCAATAATGAAACAGTCTAAAATTAGTAAACTTAAACGTATGTGCGTCAAAGTCATCACTGGTAACATTGAATGCTTGTTTGGATAGTTCAAATGACTTTGAGCACTTTGTTGTGTATTGTGTTTAATATACTGAACAAAATTTTCTGAAATAAAAGTGTGTTGTTTGCTAGAATATTCTTGTGTAAATGTATCACTTACGGAATTGATCATGCTATCTGTGTATTCTTCTAAATCATTTGTTGTTAGAAATACACGTTCTTGATGTGTTTTTTGAATTTTTAGAATTTTATTATTATTTACTTGATGATTCGTCACTTTAAACTTGGCTTCAGAATCCATGGAATGACTAGATAATTCTGGAGATGAATAAAATATTGAACGATAATGATTCGGAGAGGTGAATACTTTCTTAAGACTAAAATAAACGCAAAAAGAAAAATAGTATTGATAATGTTCATTTGTTTAAAATAAAATGTTTTTTGACAACAAAAATATGGAGATTTAACAAGTTAACTTTATGTTACGAAATTAAATCAGTAACCATCTCTCAACTTCTGTTAATTGCATGGTGAAATGTACGCTTTTGAATAATTTATCATTGCTAAATTAACATTGTCTAACCTTAGGCCCAGAACTTCATCAAGTTTTAATAGGCTGACTACTCAGTGTGACATTTTATCGTTGTTCACCTTGTTTGATGTAAAGGCATGGAACTAGGTATTAGATTATACGAATTCTCATAAGTAGAACTGGCTAATCGGTAAAACATTTGACATTATGAAAATGTTAACACTAATATGCGGAGGAGAACAATCTACATCTTGAATTCCCAAAAAATGTATCTTATAACGAAATGTCTTATTTATGCAATAAAAAAGAAATAAGTTAAATAATCCAGAGATTTTCAACATGGTTCTTCAAAGATAACAATTTACAAACTATAAGGCATTTTGTTCATGACTTGGGATTGAAAATTGTCTTGTTATCACTCAAGTACATATTAATTTATGGCTACATTATATACCACATACAAGAAAGCTTTTAGTAATTAACTAAGTTTAGTTAACTTTTTCATCATTTAAAACTGAAATGTGTACTCTTTTTTAACTTTTCCAAGATGAGATTAGGTGATTGACAATGGGCAAATTTATAATCCTTCAATCGTTTTGGATAAATTATTTCAAATATGTCAGAACTTTATAAAGTTCTTCGATCTCTTAAAAACACCTATAGAAATTTAACTAAAGCTTCTTGGTATTAAATTATTTCTGAAAGTATAACTTAACCGAAATTAATTAATCAATGTTATTCAACATACAACGCTTCAATACTCATCTAATTAACATAATTAGTATCAAGGCAAAATGATTTTAGACTAAATAATAAGAGATTGTTCAGAACATAGATTTGTATCTCATAACTAATCTATTCAACCATAAACGTGACTAAAAAACTTTTATGAATTAGTCTTTAACAGTTCTTGTTTTTTTTTTATTGAGGTGATTAGGTAGCAGCAATACAAAAAAGGAACTTTTCTATTTTATTTCTTCACTGCTTTCCTAGGATGCATTAAGCTTTATATAAAATGCTAATTCTTCGTGTTTTACCACTTTGTTAGTTGTTATTGTTTTTTTGCTTAAAATGAGGGATAATCGATCTTATATTGAAGATATTTATTTCCTTAAAATGTACACTTGTGTGTTATACAACAGTTGTTACTTTAAAAGTATATGTATTTAAAATTAGAGATATTTCTGACAGTAGAATTATGGTTTTATATACGATGGACAGAATGAATGTTATATTTTCTGTTTTCATTTGATGGATTAACACCTTAAAGTTAATGAAAGCTAACGAATCTAAACGTTTTGTTTTGGTGAATAACCGAACAATTTCTGGTAACAAGGTAGTAAACAATTAAAAGAGTGATTACAGATTCCAGCCGTTTGCATGATGAATTTAAATTACTCTCAAGATCATTTGAATAATATGTTTACTTCTGGATTTTCAATGACACTGAGGATCTTTGAAGGTTTCTGGATCGTTTGCTTCTCAATTAGCACTGATAAAATGTTTCATTCTAATTTAGGACTCTATAAGAGTCGGGACCTACCATCGCATCAGGCATCAGATCTCTTTGAGAGCGCGCACACATTTTTTCAGTAGGCTTTAATTCACTGGATGATTTTCCATAAATATATGTAGCTACTTATCATTTAATCATATCTTATGCTTTCACTGACTCGGTTTGGTTGCTAAGACCGAAAATAAACAAAACATTCCGTGATGGTAAAGAAAATTTGTATTCCATGTGTATGGATTTGGAGTCTCGCTCTTTGACCTGATCATGAAGCTTCCATTGTTCTTCTGGGAAACATCATCAGGAAAAATGATGAAATCATGGTAGACGGAATGCCGAAAAGATTAGGGGAATTTTAGAAACTTGACACTCGGGTCACTTAACAATCAACAAACGCATCGAAATTGATTCGACTTATCAACCAATCGGAAAAAGTATAGACATACATGGGACCAAGAATCCGATTACAGGGGTATACAATTCACATAAAGGTCAACAATAACCAATCAAGATCGAAGTCGACAGGTCCAGCTGTGAGCCATATGTGGATATACTTCACTTCGACCTGAAATTTTTGTTGATTATGTTTTCAAGAAGAACAATGAAAGCTTCAAGATCAGTCCATCCAGTTCAAGGAAGGAAACTCTACCATAAGTAAAACATCTCTCTGTCAAAATGTTAGCGCTATTATGCCTCCATACTTGTTTCAACCGTAAGGCAAGTGACAAATATTTAACAGACAAATTTTATCATACACAATATGCCATCATCCTATTACAAATCAGCTTTCTGTCTATGTTACAAGTGTGTTGCATATTATAGATTGAACTGACCGCAAATTCTAAAGTCTCAGTTACTGTATAAACAACTAGATATAAGAATCAAAATTTATCGACGGTTTCTTCGTCAAAATTAAGTTTATATGGAGAGGCAGTCTAGATTTTATGATTTTCTAAGGTGCTTTTTATATTTATCTGTGTGAAAAGAAAAGTCTTTGAAAACCGTAAAATTAGTTGTTTCGGTTACGTTTGTGAAAAGAATGAATAACCAAGAAGCTTCAGGCTAGAAATAGATCTTCAGTTTTTCAAATAATGTCAGCACTCAATCATGTTATGCTAGATAGTACACTTTTTGATAAAAATGTTGTTTTAATAATGATTGGATGCATCAACAACCTTTGAATACAAAAGTTAGTGATTTAATTTGTTTATTAGTCGTACTACATAATACAGATGACCCATTGTGTATGCTACTTTTAACAAGTAGATTTAAATTTAAATAATATTGATCCGAATAAAAACTACTTTATTGAAAATAAATAAAGCTACTTCGTCCATATGAAGGTGTAGACACCAGTTAGCAGTATCTAGAGATTTTAGAATAAATGATCAACAAAAAAAGGTTGTATAATATATTATATCAAATTAAAAAAAATAGATTATTTTAGGTCCGGAAATAAATATCTTACTTTTCAAGTAACTGCAATGGTAATAAATGAACATAATCAGCTTGGTAAAAATTCATATAGTTCATTAAAGCTACATATGATGCCTTAATACCGGATCTTTGTTGACCAATTTCGTAATATCTTCTCATATTGTCATGAAAGTTAAGCTTAGTTTCTGTGTATACTTTATTGCTGGAAAAGTGTCCAGGATTTCTTTCCACATTGTCTGATGTATTCAACATACGTTTAACATATTGAAGCCAACCAGAATGATAAACAGAACTAAGCATATTTGCATAGATTTTATATGATTCAGAATGACGGAAATCTAACTGTTGACTTATTTGTTCATACAAATGATCAAATAATGTACGTTGTTTGTTGAAATGATGGTTTGCTAATTCATTGATAGAATATATTGTACTATCGTTCAAAATGTCATTATTTTGTGCTGTAGTATTGAATTGCAATTTTTCAAGCCTAATTTTTACCAAATGTCTACCTTCTCTAAGAGCATCTGTTAATTCAACTGTCATAGCATGTTGACAAGCTAATTTCATACGTTCAACATAATCAAGTTGCCTTTTTAACTCTTGGTCAGTAAATTCTTCAATCCATTGAGTTTCAGCTTGAAGTCTTAAAATTGGACCGACTAAATGAATCTGATCCAGTCCTGTTTCATGCATTGACAAGGACGATGTTGTTGAAACTGATGTAGGTGATGACATATGCATACCATGTTGAAGCGAATTGAACTCTATAAACTCTCGATTGATTTTAGGCCATTGTAAAATATTATCAAATGATGAAATTTTACCAGAAGTTTGTAAACTAAATACTAAGGAGACAGCAACACTGAATGTAAATAGAAAGGTATAAAAGACACGGAATGCAAGGTGTGTAAATAAAAATACTCGTTTTATTTGTGAATTTTCTGTATTCCAAGCATAATTATTAAACCATGAGGAATTTGATGAAAATGTTCGATAAGAACTGTGAGATTCTTTCACATAACTATGATAGCGCTGATTTACAACGATGGTGGGATGATATAACATTTGTCTACTGGAGGGAAATGTTTGAATGTAATCTTCACCTTTTCTTGATGTCGCATAATACAAAGTACGCCTATTGAATTTGACAGGAAATGGATGAAGTAGTAATTGATAATACTGCACCTCATCACCATAATGAATACTGTTAACTGGTTTTTGATATCCAACTGAAATTGGATAACCTTTGTTTGATACGATACAATGTTTTATATATACAAATATTATCAATACTAAAAAATAAAGTAAACCAACTCCAATTGTGATAAATAATAAAGGACTGAACATAACCATCTGTGACGATTCTTCCACGATGCTCTTGTTCGAATATATACTAAGTATTGATCCGTCAGCAACACTACCCTGAAGCATTTTTTCTGTTTTTCGATATTTGAAAAGTGGAGTGTATATTCTTAGTGCCACACTGTCGTCATCACAGTCTTGGATAATTAGATCAAAAATTATTGTTGACCGAAATGATGACTGAAATAATGTTTTCGATGGAATCTCGCTGATCGAATTAATATCGATTTGATAAGTTAACTGAAATGATTGTAATTTTTGATTTGGTTTGAAATAATCTTTTGTTTGTGAATTCAATACAATAATATCATGATTACTTAAAATCAATGGATTTGCAGGCCAAATTAGTTTGAAATTGAAGTACGCTGGTGTTCCTGTCACGTAGCCTAGGTATAATTATAAATCAAGTACATAATTATTATAAAAAAGAAACGCTAATTGAGGATTGCAACAAATAAGCATCATAGTCATAAAAATAAATTCTCTATACTTAAAAGGTGTTTCAATAAGTTTAGTTTGAATATTTAGTTAAGCGTATAGTGTAGAATTATATGTATTGTTATATTCGGAAATTTCCGTATATTTTATCGATCATTATTTTAACATCACAAAACAGGATATATTCACTGAAAAAGCTTATTATTTTTAGACAATGCTATCTTCTTTGACATCAGATAACACTGTTAAGAAGTTGGTTGTTTGTTTTTCTATGACAAAGTCATGGAAATCTAAGGTGGTGTGTCTGAAGTAATTGCTAGGAGTACTGCGAGTCTCTGTCCCGGATAAACGAGGAATGTTGTGCATGGGTTTAGAAACCCCATCTCATAAAAGACGAACTCAACAAAAAACGTTAACCAGAAAACATTATTTAAACCTTTTAAGCTCTGATCTGGGAGCTAGAAGGTCTATATCGAGAAGCGTTATGACGACTCACGATGAAAGACGAAGTTTCTGCGGAAGTTATAAAGCTAGTGCACCTTCTGACAACGAGAGCAGCAGTTAATTTAGGTAAATGGAATATCTGAACAATATGGAAAGCCAGGAGAACAATTGAAGTCGCTGCAGAAATGGGAAGATACAACCTGGCGGTGCTTGGAATAAGTGAAACACAGACACAGGCTGGACGAAAACTATTTGCTTCACGAAAAATGCTGTTTTACTCCAATCGTAAAGAAGAAAATGCTTCGGAAGAGATTACAGTGAATATCATTTAGCGCCTACCAACAATAACATTGAAAACGACAAAGATCACTTCTATGGGAGGCTGCAGTCAATCGTTGAGAAATGTTCACCAAAGGATTTATTCATTCTGATAGGAAACTCAAACGCCGACGTTGTACTGGACGACATTGGATATGAAGATTTTACGAGACGACATGAACTAGGGGAAAGGAACAAAATAGGTTGGAGATCCTCAAACCTATGGGCCTACAGGAGCTGAAAAAATAGCATCACGAAAGTTTGATACGGCTTTTCTTCAAAATATCGAACGAATTAAATATATCTCTAGCAATAAGTTGCAAGTCTTTCACAATCCACTCAATGGAGAGGGAACCTTCACTGAGAACGACTTGAAAGGGATCAATGAAGCGATAACTTCAGAATGTCATGAGGTTTTGGGCCACAGGAAGCATTTTCACGAGGATTGAACCTCTATTGATACTCTGGATAAGATTCAAGAAAGAGAGAAAGAACAGGAATGCCGGAATCAATAAGAATCGAATAAGAGCAGAGAAAACCAAGGTATAGCTTTAATATACAGGAGCGAACAAGCAAGCAATAGATTTGATAAACGCAAATATGTGAGAGAACTAGCAGCGACCGCAGAACTAGCTTAAAGAGATTCAAATGTGAGACAACTATATGACACAATGAAGAAACTTGCCGAAAAATACAATAAACCAACACAACCAGTCGAGAGCATAGAAAGCAAAGCCTTCACCGACATTGAAGAACAGTGAAAGAGAACAGCGCAGAGCAATCTGAAAAACTTTGAATAGACCGGTCCACTGAGCTTACCCAACATCGAGGCAGCATCAACCAATCATACAACAAATCATCATGGCTATCAGATGAATCAAGGGTAGCAATGCAACAGGTCCAGACAACATACGCAGTGAGGTACTGAAAGCAGACGTGAAGGTAATCGTTATGATAATACACGCTCTCTTCATATAGGAGGAAGAGTAAATACTAACTAATTGGAAAGAAGGACATCTCATTAAGATAAAAATGAAAGATCTCAGCAAGTGTAAGAACTACACAGGCATCACTCCACACACAATATCAGGAAGATTCTTCAAAAAAGTCTTGTCAAACCAAAAGAAGGATTCACTAGACTCCTAACGACAAGATCAATAGACCGAATTTGGTAAGGGCTGATTGTATACCGACGCAATACTACGGATTGATTTAACAGCGAACTAGTTAACAGATACTTTTATTAGGTTTTACATTTATCATACAGAGTGTGCCTGAATAAATTTTAGTGTGAATATCTTAAACAACCATTTGACTTTTCTTTCCTCAAGCAGAATCCTAATAAAATAGTTATCAAAAAGTATTAGTAAACAATGGACTATTTCAGTGACCGTTGTAGTAATTATAAGTGAGCACTGGTGAGGACATCTAAGTTGAGTTTTTTTTACTATATTGCTCTTATCGTTTAACAGCTGGCATTACTTACTGTGAAAAAAAATACCTGTACAATGAACAAATCTTCGTAATGCATATAAATTAGTGATATTATCAACCATACGAACCTATTTTAAGCTAAAAGCAAACAGATATGGTATTTTAGTTTTGAAATCATTTTTCAATATGTTATCGTATCTCTGTAACCTTAAATTTTATATAATTAGTTTTATGGTAAAAAATATTATCTGAATCAAACCAACCACTCACGACATAGATTTTACAATCTCCCTAACATGAATTGTTGGAGATGAATATTTTTTTAATTATCTCCACTTATTATTTGTGCATTTTTGATAACAGAAATGTAGACAGTGAGAACGAAAAACGGTATAATTACATTGGTATTATGGTCTGCTTGTTCAAAAAGCCTTTCTGTTTTCTGTATTTGTACAAACTTATTGAAAAGCTGATGCATAAAAAAAATAGTCGGTTACAAAATTGAACCTTTGAAGTAAAACAAAGTGAAACCAAAATCAATCTATACATGGTACAAGAAAATTTACATATCTATGAATGATTTAACGCTTTTTAAAGTGAGAATATTAAAAAAAAATCATCAAGCTGATTAGTAAGTAATTAAAGCGAAAATTTTGTAATCTGTACAATTGCCTTTGACGGAGAAGTGTTAACACGAAATGAATATTATATGAATAATGCCCTCGAAATTAAAGCAATAGAAATAAAAGATTTCTCTCTAGGTTAAAGTTAGTTTAATCGTGGTTAATAAATATGAACTCATGCATTCAGATGGTCATTCATGCGAAACGAATAGCTCTCCGAAACTAGTAAACAGCATGTTTTTATGATTACCTTCAAGTGTATACATTAACTTGCATGAATATATAGTTATTGTAGATTCCAATGGAGGAGGAAATCAGGAGGAAGCGGTGGAAATGGATTGGACACACACTGCGGAAAACATCCAACTGCGTCACAAGACTAACCCTCACATGGAACCCTCAAGGTGAAAGGAAATGAGGAAGGCCAAGAAACACATTACGCCGAGAAATAGAGAAAGACATGAGAAGAATGAACAAAAACTGGAAAGAACTAGAAAGGGAAGCCGAGGACAGAGTTGGTTGGAGAGAACTGGTGGGTGGCCTATGCTCCATTAGTAAATTTATGTAATTCAGCTTTATTTGTAATTCATGTTTCATTCAAATTCATAATTAGAAACAATTCAATCAAAAATAGGAATTCAATATAATTGACCATTCTTGTCAGTAGTCTATTTGACAATTTATATTTCCCTCAATTGTTGATGAAGACTTTTCGATTTAAAGCGTATGCTAATCAATATGGAAATAAAAAAAAACATTATTAGATAATCAAATTTGAAATCATTAATCGATCGTCATTGTTAGACCACCATTAGAAACCTGGAAGCACTGGACGGCCGTTTCGTCCTAGTATGGGACTCCTCAGCAGTGCGCATTCAAATTTGTCCTTATTCATTAGGGAACTACTGATTTAAATGAAATAAATGTACCCAATTGAATCTAATTCTCAATATTGTCTTTGTCAAGAAATCCGTGTTATTTCTATCACCAATTGAAAACAACTCTAACTACTTGGATATCTTAGTGGAAACAATTGCCAATCATGCACAAATGATTAGTTAATTTGAAGTAACAAATTTATTTTTTAAATTTTAAGTTAACTGATACAGTAGGCAGTGAAATATTTTGTACCATCAGTATGTGGAAAATGTGTTTCAGTAGATTATTAGTTATTTAGATGATAACTATTATTATCATTCTCTAGTTGACCTTATACATTTCCTTATTTTATTCTATGATAATATAAAAGATAAGTAAATATCACCTTGATCTTTAACTTAGTATGTCATTTATGTTGAATGATATCTTGAAATAATAACAATAAAATATAATAAAGATGTTACAGAATAACAATGAAATAAAGTGATATATATGTATATATCATATTCAATTATCACAGAATTACACATCATGCTACAAAACTAAACTAAAACGAAATGAACTTTAAACTCAATAGATTTAGGTTGAAGATAAAATCGAAATATACTTAACTATAAAGAATACTGTAAATTATCCTAAATAATTATTCAGTATGCAAATATCAATAGTTTAGAACTATCATCTCCACTGTAAGATCTTATTTTTTGGGTTTGGTCGCTGAGACCTTTGTTTAGATATTGCAAACATAAGAAATATATTCTTCCTATGGTCTTTTATCTTCAAAAGGGACCGAAGGTCCTAGGTTCGATTCCTGAGTGTCAGGTAATGGATACAGACTGTTGATGAGTTCTATACTAGGACGAGGAGGCCATCCATTGCTTCCAGGTTTTAAAAATTGTGACTTCTGTTTTATTTTACATTTCCAAAAAATATTTTGTAACAAACAATACACATTTTACTTATCACATATTCTTGACCTGAATATCATTTACGAATTTTAATTTCAATCAGTTATGTTAGCCATCAGTTGTTAAACTGACTTATTGGAAACCTATGCACAGATATGTTTCTTTACAATTTCCGATGTATTTCTGTGAATAGTAAAAATTTCTGTATTTAAAATTCACGTAATTTTTCAGGACTGTCATTTTGACCTTAAACAATGATAGCATTATCAAATATTATATGTTTGTTAATAATAGTGACATTAGTCTACCGGATAAGATTACTAACTGCGATTTGATCTGGTG